CCATTTCCAGTTTAACGTGGGACGGTCTCCAGCGGTTGCATTCGCTGCTTTGAGCAGCCAAAACCCAGGTGTTGTCACTATTGCCAACACCGTCTTTGGGTCTAACCCACCTATAAACCCTAATGTTCTTTCTAGGGCTTTCCAGCTGGATCCTAGGGTTGTCATGGATCTACAGAACAAGTTCTGAATATCATCATGAATATAACATTGTGTGTTTCGATTTCTTTCATCTCATGTATTCGTCTAAATAAGGATCATGTATTTGCCCGTTCATTGTAATGTAATGTAATGTAATGTAATGTAATGTAATGTAATGCTATGTTGTTCGTTACTTTTACCTTCAGCTTCTTCAATGACCCAATTCAATTGTTTTTATTTCATCAACTATGAATAGTATATTCGTGATACAGTTTTAAAACGAAGCAGTTAAATACAATATATATAGTTGGAAAGGTGAAGAAATCTGAATGTACGCTAATGCACGTGATGACGTGAATTCATAGTATAACTCATGCTTTTCTTATAAAACGTGATGATAAAAATATACTATTATATAAAATATGGATTAAATTATTAAAACATATTAGAATCCTTAAAATATATTACTATCCTTGTTTGGAAACTGGTTAGACGTTCTCGTACGCTCGGAGTTAACCTAGTGCCTAATGAAAAATATCAAAGATTAGACCGAATTTAATCAAAAATTAAATTTAAAGATCCCTTATATATTAAAAAAAGAAGCATTGTAATAATTGTAATTAATTAAAAACACAATTTAGGTACCGAATGAAGAGATCACATTGTAATATATATATTATTTTTTATTGTTTATAGATAAAATTTTATTTTTTATATGATTTGTTTTTACTAATTTCTCTGTTTGGCTTTTTACTTAATTTTATTCTAAGAATTTTACTATCATGTATTATTTTGAACCAGTTAGTTTAATCAAATGAAAAACTAAGCCTAAACAATGGCTGAAAAGTTAGATATAAATTAAAATGGCAGGTACGAAACTGAGACTAAATCAAAATGAAAAGGACGAAAACCTAATTTTTTTTTCATATTTAACCAAACAAACATACCAATTTTTGGTAAAATAAACATAACTTTCAGTCTATCGTTAGGTCGATCTCAGATTGGTGGTATTGGAAAACTAACTCAAAGTTTTATTTTGTATCTAAATTTGAGATCAATCGTACCGTGGAAAATCTTCCATCCGTTGCTAATTTATGATACATCGACACAGTTTTTTTTTACTAAAGACATCTACACAGTTATGCATCTTTAATTGCCATTTTACGTTTAGTTTAATAGTTTCTGCTTTGAATCAACCTAATACATGAAAAGATTCTACAAAAGATTAAAACAATCTAATGGACACACTTTGAATCAATAAAAGTCTAAAACAAATGTTAGGAATACACAAAGCACCGTTCTTTTTTGTTTGTCCTCAGACAAAAATACCGTTCAAACTTATTGACATATATATTCAAATATTCCGCAAAACCCAGAAATATAAATTCAAATTTTAACATCCATTTACATATTTATATAATATAAGTTGACACAGTCGTGCGTACTCACTTAAGAAACAATCAAACCAATTTGGGAATGCAGCTATTCCCATCTCACGTAATATGGGTTTACTTTTTCCTGTGGATTTGGAATAGGTCAGTTTAGTTGACCGAGATCATAAGAATGTTTTATCTGGTAGACAAAAGTATACAAGCCTTCTTTTTAAAAGTATACAATTTGCCCAGCCTTCAGTAATTGAGAAAAGCCAAGCTAGGAATTTTTTTTAAAAAAATATCAAATAACTAATACATAATCAAACAAAAAATTTTTAAAAAAATTTAAAAAAAAAAACAAAAAAAGAAAGCTTGGTAAAAAATGGCAAGCATTACAAGCAAAAGGTAGCTCACCACATCCTACCACCAAAAAACAAAATAGAATAGATAAATGAAATGTTACAAATGAATGCTAAAACAGATTTAAATTACTGTATCCAAATAAAATTTTGGAAATTTTTAATAAAATAAACTAAATAAATTCAATTTTTTAAAAAAATGTACTATAATCTCATTAATAAAATGAAAATTAAAATAAATAACTGCATAGTCGAGAGGTGTGTTACAATATCTATCAGCTCGGCAATGAACATATATAAAAACAAACATGATACTAGATGACCAACATAAAACAAACAAATTAAAATAGCTACTCCACTTAAATAAAATAAAACATTATCATCCCATTCAAACAATCATAGTTATCGTATTATGCAATTTAGTCAACTGATCCACTTTGATACTCAATCTCCTAACATCATGTATAAGCATTACTTAAATACTGACCGCCACAAAGTATATATTCAAATTTTTAAAACTAAATACAAATATCAAATGAAGCACTTAACGGAAACAAAACCCTAGAAATTAATCACACCATAGAAACATTCAAGCCATCTATATAATTGTAAGATGCAGGTATGTCAAAATGAATGGCAATTACACACATATGACGATGAATCTATAGACGAAAAATAGCCCAGTGCCATATAGTTTCATATAAATAAATTAATATAACCTTTAAACCAACAAAAAATTACTCTACACACAACAAATGAAAACAATCCCGCGCGAAGCAGAGACCTGTCCTAGTATTTCATAAAGTTGTGCATTGATAATTATAGTAAATTAGTTATATATGTTTTGTTTCAGTTTAAAAAGATAATTAAGTTTATTAGGTTATTATACAGAGATTTTTATTTTCAAACAAATAAGTGATCAACCCAATTTAAATATGAAAAAAAATACCTAGATGAAGAAACAGATAGTTTATTTCTTATTCTAGCAAATCACAATCAATAATCCATGTATTCTTTTAAAATCTTAAAACCTATACATTGCAGAAGAAACACAAAGAAATATTGAATGACCCATAATGGAATTAGAAATGAAAAGAGAGATTCATAGATTTTCTCTACAAGTACATCTAAACTATTAAAAGGGGAGTACAAATTTGAAATATCCATGATTTTTTCTAAAGAATTATCATCTCATGCCATTACATTAATATTAACTATTTAATTATTTTCCTTAAAAATTACCATTTCATTCCACTACATTAATATTAACTATTTATTTTCAATTTAAACTAATTACTAACTACATTCCTATAATAAAATGCATAAAATCCTGCAAAGCGCATTAAAACAATAACAAAAATTATAAAGCTCAAAACCTAAAGACAATGAACAATACACCAATATGTCAAAATTATATAATACATGTATCTAAAACATAAACATAAACAGTTAAGCTAATGGTATTCACAGTGGTTAAAAACAAATTATTCATTCTATTAAAACTGAAGTACAAAATAAATTTTATATATTTTAAATGATTTATTACAGATTATATTCGTTTTTACTTTATTTTAACCATTTCATTAATTGTATTTAATATACAATTTGATAGCATTAATTTAAAATATCCATCATCTATCTTATTATAACCAAACACCCGCTCGGGAGAGCGGATCAAGATCTAGTGTACAATAAAACAAAAAATTACTAAAAATAATCAATACATAAGTAAAACATAAGAAAATTTTGAGCAAAAATAAAATAAAATTATGAAAAACAATAATTCAGTTTTTGCTCTTAAGATACATATATTTTATACAGAAGCTTATTTATGCAAATAGTTGACTTGTTATAACTTATCCCAAATTTTGTTACTATCTGAACTGCAATATTTATTAACGAACAATCATGAATTCAATCTAACCCTTAACGATCAAGCATTCATCCTAACCCTTAGCGAGCAAATTCATCCTTTTAGTGTTAACCGAAACCCAACTAAAAGCTTGTACCTCAATGAGGTAAGCACTAAACCCTCAGTTACTATCATGTCTAGCATTACTGTCTTGATATTTTAGTTGGAAAATGAGCTTAACTTTGATACTGTGCTGCATCACATTGAGAACCCGGAGAATCTAAGCATAAACTATTTTTCCCTCGACTCATATCAACATGAACCATAGAGCTAAACTTTGGCATTGGTCTCTGAAGCAAATTACTGGACAGGGCAACCGTATACAGAGACTGAAGCTCTGTCAACCCTATAGGAACGATACTAGCAATCTGATTGCCCATTATCTCGAAAACTCTCAAAGTTGTAAGGTTCTTTAGCTCTGTAGGGAGATTTCCTGAAATTCCTCTGTCAGAGAATCTTATGCTTGTGACGCGACTATTCTTGTCACAATCCAGTTCTGCCCAAGTACAGTAGTTTGAACTACCCCGATCAATATCATTAGTACAATTAATAGTTAACCCTAACTTTTTCTAAATATTTACAAGGGATTTCCACTATATAAACCATTATTAAAACTATTACCAAAACCAGAATTCATTTAAACCATTAACCACTCTTTACCTTTTCGCTTAACCAATTCTAACTCTATAAATTTGGAAACAAAGACAAAATACAATGGGATCTTCTTCTTGTCGTAGACTCTCCATCATTATGAACTTCGTATGGCAAACCTATAATTATCATATAATTTCTTAATATGAAACCAATTTTTCAATGTCAAAAAAAAAATACAGCTAAGTATAGAGATTTTTCTACATATATATTTGTCATCTTTGTACCCACACTATATACATTATTACGCTATATGAACATTGATCAGTGGACTTTCTGTGACATATATTTTATAGGCATTGCAATTAAACTCAGGTCAAGGTGTGTCACTCTCCGTTAAACTATGCTTCCTTCTTGAGCTATTAAAGCCATGGCTGGAGCAACATTATCAAATCGGTTCTACTGATATATATATATATATATTGTTTTATTTTATTGAATGAATTCAAAATTTAAAATATAATGCATATGAACTATAACTATTCAATCCCTACATATATGTGCTATACTGTAGATTTTGTAACCATGGTGAGTAACAAAAGATCTTTATTTTGATTTTAGATTTGTAATATTTTATATTACTAACAACTAGAGATAATAATAATGATATAGCAGAAAATATTTGTTATAAATATTTGGTATTGCTAACAATTTATAAGATCAGATAACATGTTAAAATATTTTTTAAATAAAAAATAAAAATAGAAAAGGTATTATTACAGAAAATGAATTTTACTTGTATTTTTGTATAAAAATATAATCAGAATATTTCAATAAAAACCAACAACATTTTTCATATAAATTTAAACTTTATTATAAAATCCGCGCGGGCGTGCAGGTCCAAACCTAATCTATACTATTAAAGCAGAATCTCTACTAGGATTATGCCCTTAGATTTTGGAGTTATTTACCAAGCAATGCCATTTCCTTTTTTGAAATAATTTTGTTATTGATTTTATGGTAATTATTTGATAAAAATACCAAATATTCCTTATTTACCTTAAATGAAAAAGTTACCACTTAATTACTTCGAGTTTTAACCAAACGATTTCATCTTTTTATTTTACGAAACCAAACGAATATCTTTTATATTTTGAGAATCTACCACCTCTTATTATAGCGTCATCATCGACTCTTATTATGAGAATCTACCACTTCTTATTAATCTTAAAACATATTGTATATGTTTGTTGTATTACTATTTGTATTGAATGTCATTTTGTTTTTTTTATTATATACTAATCATATGCAGTATTAAATGTTGTTTTGTATCTTCAGACTCTTAACACATATAAAATTATTAGTAATATAATAAGTAAGTAATTATTTGAGCTGTTATTTTGTTTTTATGTCAATTTTGTATTATTATGTACATTAATATTTAAATTTTTAAAACTAGTTATTATATATAATATAACATATTATTATTTTTGGTAAGTAAAGGTTAACATGTTTTAAAATTTACGAAATGATAAATATGATTTTATATTATATTATTTGTATTAATATATTTAGTATTGAACCACATCTGTTTTAATTTCTGAAGAACAAATTAAACCAAGGCATATTGGATAACAAACCACGTGATTTTAGGTGCACTCGATTTTGTAAAATTTATTAGGTAGGATTGTTAAGTTATAAAATAACTGTTTTAAATCTAATGACATTCAATAGTAAATATTAAGAAAAAATCAGAGTTCATTATTAATGTACTTGAATTTTAATAGATTAGACTACTATTGTACTGTTACACTTGATATCTTCATCGAAAGAGATACAAGAAGTCCACACGGTCAAAATGAATTTTTTGTACTGTTACACTTGATATCTTCATCGAAAGAGATACAAGAAGCCCAGATCGGTTGCATATTTAAGTTTACAGAAGCGAGGGAAGAAGATGACTGTCAAAAACATCGTCTTACTCTTGATTAAAATTAGAAAGAAGAAAAAGTTGCTTTATTATTGTTCTAACATTTTACCTTTCAGATTTTCAATGTAGAAAATAGATATAATTATGGTACTAAAAGATTTTGATAAACAAAAAACTATGATATTAACGAAATTTCATGACACGCCATTCAGTATGTGAATATTATATTGATCTCTTTGTTTTTCCTTTCTTTTGCAACACTACTTTTCAGAATTTCTTTTAGGTAACAATACAAATGGCTCTAAGAAAGAAGACAGGATTGACTAATTATGCTTTTGTTTGCTCAACATTTTGAGCCCAACTTCATATACCACTATATCTAAATTGACTAAATAATGGATAGCTTTTAGTAAGCCTATTTAGCTAACCCACTTTAAATTAAATTCAAATAATTTAATTCCACTGATAAAATCCAATACATTAAAATTACTTAATGTATAATCAGAAATTCAAAAATATAAATAAAGATATAATAGGGTATAAAGTGTGAAAACTCATAAATTTTTAAAACGATAAAGTATTTATAAATATATTTCAAAGTAGGTTTATGAAACTAATCACTATTTTTTAAAGTGAGTTAAAATAAAAATTAAACTATTAACTAAACAGATTATTCTATTTAAGTTTACTTATAATTAATAAATGAACATATGTTATTTTATAAATATATATATATATATAATTTTACAAGTCAACGTAATACATATTAAATTTAAAATAATTATTAAGTAAAATATTGTAATTTTGTTCAAAAATATGATCATACATTGTAATATGGATTGAACCTAATATAACTATATATAGTTCAGTTTGTTTTGAAAATTAATCTTCATATGCCCAGTCGACTAATTTCATACCATCAATTTTTTAACTTATACACATAAGTTATAAGAAAGAAAAGTTTAACTTTTACATATAACAAAACTGAAAATGATCTTCTAACAAATTAGATGTCATCTATAAAATGCTGTATTTGTTACTAAAATACATGAATTGTCTAAAAAAATTAGATTTTTATTAAATATTTATATTTTATAGAAAATAATCCCGCGCTTTAAAAGTGTGGGTCAAAATCTAATAGATTCTTTAAATCTCCAAAACCCAAGTCTGATCAAAAGAAAAGTTAAGCCTAAACATTGGCTGAGAATATACATATAGATCAAAAGCATGGCAGGTATGAAATTGAGAATAAATCAAAATGTAAATAAAGAAAATCAAAATTTCTTTTTTTCATATTTAACCGACAGACATATCCGTTTTCAGTAAAACACACATAATTTCAGTCTATTGCTGTGTTTACCTCAGATTGGTAACACTGAAAAGATAACTCAAAGTTTGTAATTTGTATCAAAATTTGAGATCAATTGCACAGTGGAAAATCGTCCATCCGTTGCTAATGCATCTACACAGTTATACATCTTTAATTGTCGTTTTCCATTTGGTTAGAATTTTTATTTTCTATTTCAACCTAATACACGAAAAGATTCTACAAATGATTAAAGCAATCTAAAAGACACACTTTGAATCACTAAACGATTCAAAACAGATGTTAGGAATAGACAAAAACACCGTTCAAACATATGTGACATATATATATATATATATATTCAAATATTCCGCAAACCTAAGAAGTTAATTCACATTTTTAACATCCATTTACAATTACATATTTATATAATATAAGTTGAAACAGTCGTGCCTAGTCACTTAAGAAACAATCAAACCAAAACAAACAGTTTCACACTGATATAAAGACAAATTGAGGGAAGATAATCATAAAACAAACATTTTTTGTATAACTTGTGCACACAAAAAATGTATAATTTCTCGACACTTGCCATATCAAACTTCAAATGGATAATTGTTCTTTAGAAATCAATACATAGTGTACTTTTTATAATTGAAAGCCATATCAAACATCCATTGGAATATTGTTTTTTAGAAACCAAAACAAAGTGTACTTTTTATAATTGAAGTATACAATAAACATGGTGTGTTGTGGGAGCACGATTTTGGTTTTTTTAATTTCTTTTTTTTTAAACCTCAACCATTTGAAACTACATTTTCAAATTTCTGAGATTTACAGGACTACTTCAGCACGTAAACTCATCTATAAATTCATCTCATTGTCTTCTATGTTCCTTACCTCTCAACTAAAACCATATTACAAAAGAAAACACTTCTCTAATTCCGGTTCACTTAATATATGGCAATGAAGAGTCTCTCCATTCTTGCAGTTCTATCTCTTTTGGCTTTAACACTTCCATTAGTCATTTCCTCTGACCCAAGCCCCGTTCAAGACTTTTGTGTTGGCGTCAACACCCCAGCAAATGGTGGTATGTACATGGAGATTTCCTAGTAGCTTTTCCTTTCATTTTATCATTCATTTATCATTTCTTACTCTCTTTTTTTGTTACTATTATCAGTNCACTTTTGGTAGGTTTTGTCTCATCAAACGGAGATGGAAATCGCCTCTTCACCAAAACACTGAGCAAAGGTGATGCATTTGTGTTTCCAGAAGGACTCATCCATTTCCAGTTTAACGTGGGACGGTCTCCAGCGGTTGCATTCGCTGCTTTGAGCAGCCAAAACCCAGGTGTTGTCACTATTGCCAACACCGTGTTTGGCTCTAACCCACCTATAAACCCTAATGTTCTTTCTAGGGCTTTCCAGCTGGATCCTAGGGTTGTCATGGATCTACAGAACAAGTTCTGAATATCATCATGATATAACATTGTGTGTTTCGATTTCTTTCATCTCATGTATTTGTCTAAATAAGGATCATGTATTTGCCCGTCCATTGTAAGGTAATGTAATGCTATGTTGTTCGTTGCTTTTACCTTCAACTTCTTCAATGACCCAATTCAATTGTTTTTATTTCATCAACAATGAATTTTACATCCGTGATACAGTTTTCAAACGAAACAATTAATTAGTAGATGATTAATAATACGACACAGTTACGATGAAAATCAATGTTGTTAAATAGTATAACGTGTTAACAAAACTAGAGGTTGGTCAGTTGAAACTGAAAGCGAGAGAATATTTTTCTTTACAACTTTTATTTATTGACATTTTGTACTTGCATTCAGTGTGCGGGATAACATTTCAGTTTCAACGTTTGAGAGTTTAATATTTTAACGTAGCTTAGAATGAAGAGAATTTTTTTTTTTGTTTATCAAAAAATATATTCAGTAAAATAAAAAATCTCTATATATTTTATGTATTTTATTTTCCAATCTGCATATATTTTACTGTCAACATATGCAAATATGATCAACATATAAATTTAAAGTGTAAATTTTTTTTTTAAAGTGTAATTTTTTTTTGTTGCCAAAGGAAAGATTTGAATGAAAAACCAAATTTTAAGGAACATAACTAGATTTTGACCCGCGCTTGAAAGCGCGGAAATTTTTTATGATTAAAAATTTATATAATTGGATTTTGTCTTAGTTTAAAGAATATTTTGATATAAAATTAGTTCACCAAAATTTGTGGTGATGATTAGTTTTTAGTTTCAGTTTTTATTTTTATATTTTGGTTTTTAGTTTTTGAGTTTCTACTTTTCATTTTCAGTTTTTGGTTTGGATTTTTAATTTTTAAACCCGCTGAGTTAGTTTTAACTAATATTACCAACAAACAAATCTTAAATAATCGAACATCTAATTCAAAACTGAAAAGATGACAACAAATTTGTTTTAAAAAATTGAAATAGTTTTTTTGTAAATAAACAAAGTAAAAAAATATAACATGTGTTTTCACCTTTTGGTTTTGAATTTTAGTTTTTAGATTTGGTTTTTGGTTTTACTTTACATTTTTTTAATCAGTAAATTATGTAAGAAAAATAAAACAATAAATTATTTAAAGGTTACTATTGAAATTTATCAAAACAAAGTGATTGTTATTTAAAATAAAAAATATATTAACATGTTTTAAAGTACATGATTTAAATAAATGATTAAAAATAGATAATTTTGTTTTGTTTAAAAATATTAAATACCTTTTGGGTCTGAAAATAATAATTGATTTTTTGATCTTTTAAGGTGAAAAGTTTATTCAATGTTTTTAGAGTTTTTTTCTTAATACTAAGCCCAAAAACCAAACTATATAATTTGTTCAAAAAATAAAAGTAAGCCCAAGACTATATTCCATAAATAACCACTGGTTTAATTTAAGTATAATTAGTAGATTTCCATATTCCATATTTTGATGATATATATTCTTTTAGAATATTCCATATTTGTAGGAGAAAATATGTGTTTTCGGTATACACATAGATACCTGCCATATTTTGAAGGTAGTTTACATTAAGGTCGTCTATTTACATTAATTGTGTTGGTTTAATTTAAATAATAGGTTCAATCAATTACTAGATTTTGACCCGCGTAACCGCGCGGGTGTTTGTTTTCGTTTATAGTTATATAAACATTTTGTTTTCACTTATAAATTGATATATATTATAGTAATCACATATTTACGATATGTATAGTAAATATTTTTAATAATATTATATAATAAGTGTTTTAATCAAATAGATTGTTTCAAATTTTATATATTATACATGACTTTCAAACATGTGTTTGTTTTTTCTTCTATATTTTATTGTTTGTTAGATTAGTATTTCATTTTTAGATAAAGTAATATAAATAGAGCTTGATTAAATATTAGTGTAATTTAATTTGCAAAGATAATATAAACTTCGAAGAAATTTTTGCTAAAATCTAAACTTAAAGCTTCATAAATTAATATTATAAAAATTTTATTAAAAAGGAATTTTTTAAACAATTTCTTTTTTTTTAAACAATACAATTTTAAAAATTTACATCGAAATAAATTTATCTAATATATATAACGTGTAAATTTTGTTAAGGTATATAGATATTACATATTAATAATCTGTGATTTTTGTTAATATATTCTAGATGCATTTAACTATTATTGACATATTTCCTTATAAATAATAGAAGATTCCTAAATTTATATATATTGACATATTTTGCTTGACTAAGTTGGAAGGTGTGGGGTAATTTACCAAAACAAAATTGTTAAGCATATTATAAGATATAAAAATGATAATATTATTAGAGAGTTAATGTAACATAACTTTCTAGTAATAGTCCATTTTGTAAAAAATCACACATGAAGTCAAGTCATGACTTCTGTTTTAATATATAAGATATGACTTATATTAATTGTAACATTCTAGAAAGGGTCCAAATTTAAATAACAACTTGTATCAGTAGATAAAAAGAATGACTATATTTTAATAGAGTAGATTTTTAAAAACCGATCCGGACCATATTTTGTTGATGCCAAATTTCCAAAGAAAGTATGACCACCACATTCATAACGTAAGTGTTTTTTTTTTTTTTTTTTTTTTTTTTTTTTTTTTTGATCAATATAAGTGTTTTTTATATGTTGCATTTTTATTACCCTTGAAAATATGTAAAATACATTAGATTTTAGTTGGAAAAGCTGAAGAAATTTGAATGTATACTAATATATGTGAGAAGCATGGAGATTCAAATATATTATAATATAAAATGTAGATTAAAGTATATAGAATCTATAAAACTGTATAAACACAAGACTATTTTTTTTGTTTATCAAAATATATATTTCGTAAAATCAGTATCTATGTAATTTATATTCTTTTTATTTTCCATTTTGCATATATTTTATTGCCAACATATGAAAATATGATCAACATATTGAAATTGTATAATATTATGTTTTATGTTCATCATGTTTGCAACACTTAATTTTTATTTTTTTATCGCTCATAATATTGATTATAATTTCAAAAATCTATTTAATCTAGTGCGTTAGCTAAAATGTTTATATGCTATGAAGTGTGAGTTTTGAATCTCAAAAATCATGAATGAATTATCATGACATATGAATCTTCACAAATTATATAGAATGATGTGTTAGATTTGTCTATGTAATATGTCTCATTATTTATAATAACATTATTAATCAATGTTAATTTTTTATATTTTTGAACTATTAAAATTACAACTAAAAACAAAACAAAAAAAAACGTTACTGATTTACTAAAACTAGCATGTTTTTCCAGCTTAGTTTATTCCGCTATCAGGTATATTCAAATATTCTCTATTCTGCTTGACGTATCAGTCATATCAGTTGAATAATTATATATTACAAACATATAATAAAAGTAATGCGTCAAAATTTGATAAGCCAAATTTTAAGTTGATATATATCAGTCAGATTAGCAAATTACTCACTCCTTTATTTAATCAAATTTCCAACCGAAAACTTTCGTTTTTTTCTCCAAAAGAAAAAAGAAAAAGAAAGCTTACTTTTTTTTATTTAATTAAGAAAAAAACGCAATAATTCACTAAGCTTCATTCCCCAGTATTTTCATCTCTCAGCTGCGAAAAGGGTAAAGGCAATCGCTTCTTCTAGGTCTCCTTCGTTGATTTCTGGGCTTGCTCGTTTCGGACTTCCCGGGGTTTGCTCAATGTAAGTCAGTTTCGTTAATTTTCTTCTTCTTCGATTTGCGCTGAATCTCAAAAGCCTCTGAGCTGGGTTATGATATAATTGTTATTTGTTACTTGATTTCTCCGTCTAGGTTTTGCTTTTACATGATTAATCTTTTGATTAACTGATTCGTGAACTAGATCTTGCACAATGTGACACGATTGCTTTTTATTTTATTTTATTATCAATTAAGCAAAGCCTGATGAATAGATTGATGTGTTCATTTGTTGAGATCTCATATTGGAAGTTTAAATTGACCAACACGTTAGGGTCAATCCACTTATCGCTAATTGGTTTTAAGTTGGAAGCTCGTGATAAGCCCCGAATTTAACTTCTGTTTTTTTTTTTTTTGGTTGTGACTTTTGCAGGTTGATTCTCTTTGGTGGTGCATGATGATCTCTGAGAAACCATTGGGAGAAGAATCTATCCGGAAGGATCTGGAAGGTTTAACAGTGTCAAAGCGTCTCGTGAAAAGTGTTAGCCAGAAGCTGAAGAAAAAGATTTCCAAAACTGAAGTGGTTGAAGATGAAGTAGTAGTAGGAGGAGGAGGAGCGTTGAATTGTCTAAACATAAGTGGTAGAGGCGTTGGTTGCAAAGTTGCCGACACCGGAGACGATTTAGACGATCCAACAAGCAATAACAAGAGATGGTCAAGTGCCAGTGAGACAATTTGCGGAATCACGGAAGAAACTAGGTTGGATTGCTTTTCTCATGGAGTCAAAGAGATGTTCTTCAAGAAGAATAACAGAAACTCAAAGCAGCAACACCACAACATATTCCTCCCTGATGATATCCTCGAAATGTGCTTGATGAGGCTTCCTTTGAGTAGCCTTTTGAACGCACATCTTGTTTGCAAGAAATGGCGTTACATGGCCACCACGCAGAGGTTCCTTCAGATGAGACGTGAAGGGTCCTTTCAGTCTCCGTGGTTGTTTCTCTTCGCTGCTGCTAAAGATGGATGCTCTTCCTCTTCCTCTTCTGGTGATATTCATGGGTATGATGTGTCTCAGGACAAATGGCATAAGGTTGAATCCGATGTGCTTAAAGGGAGGTTTATGTATTCGGTGACGAGTATCCATGAGGAGGTTTATGTAATCGGTGGCCGTTCTGAGGAGAGAAACTCTTTCAAGACGCACAGAGGAGTGTTGGTGTTCAGCCCTTTAACTAAATCATGGCGTAAAGTCAAGTCCATGAGACATGCGAGAACACTTCCGGTTGTTGGTGCCACTGATGTTTCTTCAGAACTGTCCATGATTCAGAGTCAACAGAATCGCCGGTTTCACCAGCGGTCAAGAGAATCAGATGTTTATGAAGACCCTCACAGGTTCTCCGTCAGACGCCAAGCTGATCAAACCGGAACTGTTACAACATCTCACAGATCAGCAAGGCTAAAGCTGAACAGCTCCAAGAGGTTTGTGGTCATTGCAATCGGAGGGTCTGGACTGTTTGATGAGCCACTGGATTCAGGTGAGATATACGACTCAGCAACAAACACGTGGTCGGAAATCCAGAGACTCCCGGTGGACTTTGGGGTTGTGTCTTGTGGGATCATATGCAATGGGATCTTCTACGCTTATTCTGAGAATGATAGGCTCTCAGGGTATGACATAGAGAGAGGCTTCTGGATTGGGATCCAGACATCTCCAATCCCTCCTCGTGTTCATGAGTTCTACCCTAAGCTCATCTCCTGTAATAACCGGTTGTTCATGCTCTCGGTTTCGTGGTGCGATGAAGGAGATGGGCAGATTGGGAGGAGGAACAAGGCGGTGAGGAAGCTGTGGGAGTTGGATCTTGTGTACCTTACGTGGACCGAGGTTTCAGTTCACCCGGACGCACCGATGGATTGGAACGCGACGTATGTCTCGGACCAGAACATACTGATGGGAGTTGAGATGTTTAAGATCTTTGGGCAGGTGTTGGGTTTCTTTACTGTCTGCGATGTGTCGAGGGAAGAAGTGTCTTGGAGACATGTTTCGAGGAACCACAGGAGTCAGAAACTTAATCGATCTTGTATGAACAAGACCATTGCCTTGCTTCATCTCTGATCTTTTTTATTTAAAGAAGAATTCACTGTAATATCTTTCAGGGTTTGTTAAATGATTGTATTGAAAGAAAAGGTAATTTGTGACCGTCCCCTTGTGATTGAAATGTAATGTTCGTATTTTTTTACTGGTTTTTGGTACAAAACAGGATTTTATTTAAAGATAAAGCTTTGGAATGGTCTCAATTACAAAATTTCATGGACTCATCTCACATTTGGAGTATTTTCATAGTAGGAGTTTTTGGATTAATCTTTTGAATAAGTCGTTGTCTCACTTTGGGTTTAACAGCTAATTTAACTACGCAGATTTGACTGGGTCTCTTTACTCCGTTTGTGCCTTTCACATCGTTTTTCGGCTTAGTTTGTGTACTGAATCAAACTTTCTTACATTATTGCATTCTGATGTAATCAACGACATTGGTTTGATTTATTAATAAAGTTCTTTAGATGGAAAAGGATAAAACTTTCTTATTCAAAAAGCACACTCCATTAAATCTGTTTCGAAGCCAAATATATAGTTTATGATATATATAAATGGAAAAAGAAGCCTAGGGTGTAATTCGTAAATTTAAGGAAAAGATGATTGATTTTAAATAGGGCCAACCCCCATGTAATAACATTGGTGAAATTTTTGTAGTAAACTAGTTTCTGGAACTTTTGTAAGATCCTAATAGGTAAAGAACTTAAACTAAAGACAAATCTAAAAACCACAAACATCTGAGGCCCTACTCTTGAACTACACTTGTATAGTGGAAGATCAGGTAGCCAGTAGTTTTCATAAATGAGCTTATCATAACTTTCCAAAAACTGAAAATCAACTTTGAGTTTTGAGTAGTTAATCAATCAACCATATAAGTTTAGTTTTGGCTTGAAATTTTATGGATTTTTTTTTTTGACAATCTGGGTATCCGGCGGGCCGAGATCCAACCGACTAATCCCATAGGATCTTACCAGCGGCGTTATTCAGACCCGGTTGCCCCCAAGGGAAATTAGATATCTATGTCGCCTAACCACATAAATGGGTAACCCTAATAATATTTAATACAAGATACAACTTTATGGAATTGTATGTACTTCCTTTACATAAGACTTAGAATTTACATAGAAGATAATATTTAATACAAGAAAAAAAAACAAATAGTATATGACTAAACTCAAGAGCATGTACAAATATACAACACATAGTTATACATAAATCAAATAAATTCCGGAACCTAATGAGGAAGAAACTGAAAATTGCAATAGAAGATGAAATGTTTCAGAACATCTTCAAATCTGTTCAGATTTGCTTATGAGTTGTATAAGTGCATTTGCTTTCCTTTGAGCTCTGTTTGTTCCGGACCTGGTTATCTCAACAAGATATTCATAGACGCCAAATTGAAGTGCAGCCAGGATAAAAGACGAATTGTTAGAGCCTAACTCAAGCAACACTGATGCCGCACATTCTTTATTCTTCGGTGTGCCTTGTCTAATAAACTCCACAAGAGTCTCAATAAATGAGAGTTGTCCAATGGCTTGACGTCCCTCAGGGTGCGAGACAAGAAGCAAAAGAATCGAAAGCGCTTCATCGATCATGCCTAGGTTTGTATCTTTCAGAAGTTGTAGCAACGGTTGAACTATACCAGCATCAATAGCTCTCCCTTTGTTAGCTGAGTTAAGTGATAAGTTAAAGAGTGCAGTGAGAGCATCTTTCTTCCCTCTTGATGTCCCATGCTGAAGTAACTCCACCAACGGTGGGATCCCATTTGATAATCCTATTGTTACTTTGTTCTCGTCAAGCATTGACAAACTAAACAAAGCTGCAGCAGAGTTCTCTCTTGCCTCCCTATTCCCATTTTGAAGAATTTCAATAATGTCTGGAATGGCTCCTTCGTTTGAGATGAGTTTCTTGTTGGTCTCATCGATGGATAGATTCAGCAAAGTGGTTACAGCGTTCTCTTGGATTCCAGAATCAGGGTAAGAAAGAAGTTTAGCTAGTAAAGGGATGGCTCCTGCGTTAGCTATTAAAACTCTGTTCTCTGGATTTTCTCTAGCGAGTAAACGCATTTGCTTCACTGATTCTCTTTGTTCTTCTAATTGGCTTGACGATAGTGCTTCCACCAGCAAAGTTACCTCATCTTTCTGCTCCTCTGAGTCGTTTTCCGGTTGTAAAGACATTTCTTTCTCTGGAATCTTGAAATTGTTCTTCTCACACCACTGCAAGATTATATTCTTTAATGCAAAGTTGGGAGCTAGGGAGAGATGATCAAGAGTTTGTCCGGTTTTTGGACATGTCTTATGTCCTGCATCAAACCACTTCTCTATACTCTCCTTTTCATATGTCTACAAAACATATTGTTTACATTAGTTTCAACATGATAAGTAAATTTTAAATAGGGTGGGAAAAAAAAGAACCAACTCAACTGAACCGAACAAACACAAACAAAACCGGACTAACCAAAGCAAAGGCAAACAGAACCAAACTGAACAAAAACTAAACTAGTTTTGGTTGACTTTGGTTAAAATTTTATTAGATCCAAACAAATCAGATCGAACGAAACCAAAACTAAAATCCGAATTAAACTGAAATGCCCACCCCCTAATTTTAAAACATCCAAACAAATCAGCTCGAACCGAACAAACACAAACAAAACCGGACTAAACCAAAGCGAACAAAAACATAACCAAACCGAAAACAAACCAACTAGTTTTGGTTGATTTTGGTTAAAATTTTATTAGATCCAAACAAATCAGATCGAACGAAACCAAAATTAAAATCCGAATTAAACTGAAAGCCCACCCCCTAATTTTAAAACATCCAAACAAATCAGCTCGAACCGAACAAACACAAACAAAACCGGACTAAACAAAAGCGAACAAAAACATAACCAAACCGAAAACAAACCAACTAGTTTTGGTTAAATTTTTCTTAGATACAAAAAAATCAGACCGAACAAAACAAAATTAAATCAAAATTTAAACCGAAATGCCCACCCCCTAATTTTAAGCCATCCAAGACACAGAAATTACCTGTCCAGTGGCGATGATAACCGGGTCATGCATTATTTCAAGTGTGATTGGACACAAAAACTCGTGTGGTAGTATTAAGGATGTGGATTTATTGATAACAGGTTCATAGTGAATGACCGTAGCTTCAACACCTTGAAGCTTTTTGAACTTATTAAGAAGCTGAACGATATGTTGTTTAGTCTCTATGCTCAACCCTCCTTTTTCTTGGATTAGGGTTTCTATGGCTATTGTTTCCATCTTCAGATCATCCATTGTTTGTAACTCAAGCTTTTTCGCAAGCCTTTCTATAATAGCGCTATCTGCATTTCGAGGATCGGTTTTTGAAAACACCACCATCATGTCTACTGCTAGCTCTATGTCTTGTGTGTCTGTTCTTCTCCTTGCTCTTTTCAATTGTTTACACAATGAAATAACCTACAACAAATCGGTTGCCTTGAGTGTCAAGTTATTAATTAATATTAATGGTTTGATTTGTTAAAAAGAGTACCTCATCTTTCACTCCATCAGAAACCCTCAATTCATCAAAAGGAGTCTTAACAAGAACACGATTCAGCTTTTCATAAATTGTATGAAATCTAGACATTATTGTTTCACTATCCAATGCCTGTTATCAATAAAATATAAATAATTAAAGAACCTCTAAATAAACCATTTCTGTCATTAAAGAAAATTAGATTATTACCAGAAATATTTTGCTACCATTATTGCAAGTTTCCAACAATTTTCTTGCCGCCAAAATAACTTTCCTCAAACGATACAAAAAATGCATACAACATTCTGGAGAGGGGAATTCATCAGAGCCTCTAATCTCATCCATAAACGGAATAAGAATCTTTAAACGCCTGACGAGGTTGAAGCATTCTTTCAGCTGTGTTCGTCTATAATCGCTGATCTGATCAAGAAACTCAATATTAGTTTTAATCTTGCTCACCAAATCATCCTTCACGTCGCCTACTCGTTCTTCATCATCTATAGATTCTTCTGCATTGATGACCTCTTCAATGTTCTCTCCATCTCCTCCTGTGGCTTCTTCAATATCTACATCCATTACGAGTACCATCAGAGGTTCTTCTCTATTGCCTTCAAATTGATTCCAAAGATGTTGAAGGAGAAAGGTAAGAGGAAGGAAAGTGTAAGCTTAATTTTCGCTTGTTTCATTTTTAGAAAGAGAGAAAAATTATTAGTTTTTTTTTTTTGTTTTCTCACCCAAAAATTTTGATTTGTCTTTTTTTGAAAACTTGGTTTCTGATTTTCCAGGGCAGGACTATTATCCTAAAACTGTGCTCCTCCTCTGGATATAAGACGATGATACTTTTTGTCACTATTTATAGAGTGTC